AAAAGCATCAATTCTTCAGTGCTTTGCTTTCTTTATAGTCCAACTCTGACATCCACATATGACCACTGGAAAAACCATAGCCTTGACTAGAGAGACCTTTGTTGGCAAAGTAATGTCTCTGCTTTTTAATATACTGTCTAGGTTGGTCATAACTTTCCTTCCAAGGAGTAAGCGTCTTTTAATTTCATGGCTGCAGTCACCATCTGCTGTGATGTTGGAGCCCAGAAAAATAAATCAGCCACTCTTTCCACTGTTTCCCCATCTATATACCATGAAGTGATGGGACCAAATGCAGCATATCTGACCTCCCTGTCCTTCACTCTCTCCTGGCGTTTGACCCAAGTTCATGTCCACTGAATCACTGATACTATCCAACCATTTCATCCTCTGCCACCCTCTTCTCCTTTTGCCTTCAATTTTTCCAAGCATCAGGGTCTTTTTCTATTAAGGCAACTCTTTGCATCGGGTGGCCAAAATATTGGAGCTTCAGCTTCAACATCAGTCTTTCCAATGAATATTCAGGGTTGATTTCCTTTAGAATTGACTGGTTTTATCTCCTTGCCATTCAAGAGACTCTCAAGAGTCTTCTCCAACACCACAATTTGAAAGCATCAATTCTTTGGCACTTAGCCTCCTTTATGGTCCAACTCTCATATCCATACATGAATACTGGAAACATCATAACTTTGGCTATACAGACATTTTTCAGTATAGTGATATCTCTGCTCTTTAATATGCTATCTAGGTTTGTCATAGCTTTTCTTCCAAGAAGTAAGCATCTTTTAATTTTGTGATGACAGTCACTGTCCTTAGTGATTTTGGAGCCCAAGAAGAGAAAATCTGCCACTGCTTCCATTTTTTCCCCTTGTATTTGCCATGATGTTATGGGACGGGTTACCATGATCTTAGTTTTTTGATTGCTGGGTTTTAAGCCAGCTTTTCAGTCTCCTTTTTCACCTTCATCAAGAGGCTCTTTAGTTCATCTTTGCTTTCTGCCATCAGGGTGGTTCATCTGCATATATGAGGTTGTTATTTCTCATAGCAATCTCGATTCCAGCTTGTAGCTCATCCTACTCATCATTTAACATGATGTACTCTACATATGCAAGGAGATCCAATCAGTTCATCTTAAAGGAAATCCTTTAAGTCCTGAATATTCATTGGAAGGACTGATGTTGAAGGTGAAATTCCAATACTTTGGCCACCTGATGTGATGAACTGATTCATTTGAAAAGACCCGGATGCTGGGAAAATTGAAGGTGGGAGGAGAAGGGATGACAGAGGATGAGATAGTTGGATGGCATCACTGACTCAATGGAGATGAGTTTGAGTTGGTGATGGACTGGGAGACCTAACATGCTGTGGTCCATGGGGTCGCAAAGAGTCGGACACAACTGAGTCACTGAACTGAACTGAACTGAACTCTACACATGAGTTAAATAAAGAGGGTGACAATATACAGGCTTGTCTCCAACTCCTTTCCCAATTTTGAACTGATCTGTTGTTCCATGTAAGGTTCTAATTATTGCTTCTTGACCCACAAACAGGTTTTTCAGGAGACAGCTAAGGTGGTTTGATATTCCAATCTCTGTAAGAATTTTGCAAAGTTTATTGTGATCCACACAGTCAAAGGATTTTGTGTAGTCAATGAAATAGAAGTGGATATTTTTCTGGAATACCCTTGCTTTCTCTATGATTCAATGAATGTTACCAGTTTTATCTCTGGTTCCTCTGCCTTTTCTAAACCCAACCTGTACCTCCAAAAGTTTTCAATTCAAGTACTACTGAAGCCTGGCTTGAAGGATTTTGAGCATAACCTTACTAGCATGAGGCTCCATATTAGTAAGGTTGGGGCTTCCCTGGTAGCTCAGCTGTAAAGAATCCACCTGCAATGCCAGAGATCTGGGTTTTATCCCTGGGTCAGGAATATCTCCTGGAGAAGGGTATGGCCACCCTCTCCAGTATTCTTGCCTGGGAAATCTCATGAACAGAGGAACCTGGTAGGCTACAGCCCATGGGGCCACAAAGAGTCAGACATAACTGAGTAACATTTACTAGCATGGGAAGTGAGCACAACTGTCTAGTATTTTGAACATTCTTTAGCACTGCCCTTCTTTAAAATTGGGAAGAATGCTGATAATTCTTCTGTTCTGTGGCCACTACTGGGTTTTCCAAATTTATTGACATACTGAGTGTAGTACTTTAACAATACCATCATTTAGGATTCTAAATAGTTTAACTGGAATTCCATCACCACCACTAGCTTTGTTCATAGTAATGTTTCATAGGGCCCATTTCACTTCACAGTCCAGGATACCTGGCTCTATATGAGTGACCACACCATCATCATTATATGGCTCATCAAGACTTTTTATACAGTTCTTCTGTGTATTCTTGCCACCTCTTCTTAATCACTTCTGCCTCTGTTAGGTCCTTACCATTCCTGTCCTTTATCATGCCCATCTTTGCATGAAATGTTCCTTTGATATCTCCAATTCTCTTGAAAAGATCTTTAGTCTTTTCCATACTATTTTTTTCTACTTTGCATTGTTCCTTGAAGAAAGCCTTCTTATCTTTCTTTGCTAGTCCCTGAAACTGTATTCAATTGAGCATTTCTTTCCCTTTCTCTCTTGCTTTTCACTTCTCTTCTTTCCTCAGCTATTTGTAAAGCCTCCTCAGAGAACCACTTTGCCTTCTTGCATTTCTTTTTCTTGGGGATGGTTTTGGTCACTGCCTTCTGTAAAATGTTAAATGAACCTCTATCCATGACTCTCTGTCTACCTGATCTAATCCCTTGTATCTATTCCTCATATCCACTGTATAATAATAAGGGATTTGATTTAGGTCAGACACCTGAACGGCCTAGTGATTTCCTCCACTCTTTAACTTATGCCTGAATTTTGCCATAAAGAGCTGATGATCTGAGAGCCACAGTCTGCTCCAGGCCTTGTTTTGCTGACTGCATACAGCTTCTCCACCTTCAGTAGCAGAAAAAAAAAGTAATCAATCTGACTTTGGTATTGACCATCTGATGATGTCCATGTGTAGAGTCATCTCTTATGTGGTTGGATAAGCGTGTTTGCCAAGCTTTACCAGCTTGGTAAAGCTCTGTTAGTCTTTGCCTGCTTCATTTTGACCTCTAAGGTGAAACTTGTCTATTATTCCAGGTATCTCTTGACTTCCTACTTTTGCATTCCAATCCTCTATGATGAAAAAGACATCTCTCTCTCTCTCTCTTTTTTTTTTTTTTGATGTTAGTTCCAGAAGGTCTTGTCACTCTTCATAGAACTGGTCAACATCAGCTGCTTCAATATCAATGGTTTGAGAATAGATTTGGATTACTGTGATGTTGAATGGTTTGCCTTGGAAATGAACCAAGATTTTTCTCTCATTTTTGAGACTGTAGCCAAGTACTGCATTTTGGACTCTTTTGTTACTATGGGGGCTACTCCATTTCTTTTAAGGGATTCTTGCCCACAGTAGTAGATATTATGGTCATCTGAATTAAATTCACCCACTTCTGTCCATTTTAGTTCACTGATTCCTAAGATGTTGATGTTTATTCTTGCCATCTCCTGCTTGACCACATCCAATTTGGCTTGATTCATGGACCTAACATTCCAGGTTCTATTGTTCTTTACAGCATCGGACTTTACTTTCACCCCCAGACACATCCACAACTGAGCATGGTTTCTGCTTTGTCACAGCCACTTAATTCTTTCCAGAGGTATTAGTAATTGCTCTCTGCTCTTCCTCGGTAGCATACTGCACACCTTCCAACCTGAGGGGCTCATCTTTCAGTGGAATATCTTTTTGCCTTTTTATACTGTTCATCAGGTTTTTGTAGCAAGAATACTGGAGTGGTTTGCCATTCATTCTTCCAGGGGACCACATTTTGTCAGAACTCTCCACTATGACACATCTATCTTGAGTGCCCTTGCATGGCACAGCTCATAGCTTCATTGAGTTCTCCACAACAAGGCAGTGGTCTATGTTTAACCAAAATATTCGCTTAAAAAAAAAAAAAAAGCAAATACATAGTCTAGAATTGTTCATACCCAGAGTTGAATAACTCAAACAGTAAAGAATATGACTTTGAGGAAGGAGACCAGGGTTCAATCCCAGGGTTGGGAAGTTTCTCTGAAGGAGGGACTGGCAATCTGCTCCAGTAGTCTTGCCTGGAGAATTCCGTGGACAGAGAAGCCTGGTAGGCTACAGTCCATGGGGTCACAAAGAGTCAGACGCGACTGAGTGATTAATACATATTACAGAGTAAAATATATAGCACCAAAAAGTACTCCATGAAATCTGATCTATATGGTTAAAAGATTAATACACAGACATAGATACACCTAAGTTATAAGGGAATCAATCCACATTATCCTTTAGTACAGTTATAGTTCATTTTATAAATCAAGATCACTGATCTCTTTAGAGCATATTCTTGTGGGTAATATGACACATAGTTCTATATTACCTCTTTCACATGCCTGTTCAGCTGTCCCCAAACACTTATCAAACAGTTCCAACTTTATCCCGCTGATTAGAGGCTCCACGTATATCATACACAAAGGGGTCCTAGGCATTTGGGTCTATTAGTGACCTCCCTATTTCATTAGTTGTTTGTTGATGTGCTGAGTACTATACTGTTTTAAGTATTAAAACTTTGTAGAATATTTTAGTATCTGATACCTCTCCCTTTTTAGTGTTTTCCCATATATTTTTATGTGCCTATTTTTCCACAAGAACTCTAATATCAGTTTTCTAGAGTCATACAAACGACTTGTAGTGTTTTGTATTAGAATCATTTCAAACTTATAAATTAACCTAAGGGAAACTGACATCTTGCTTAGACATTCCATCGAAGGATAAGGGAAGTTTATCCTTTTTGCTTTCAGAAGTATTTTAAGTATTCTTAATGCTGGCTTTGAACACTTTTTTTTTTTTTTTTGACAGGAAACAACATTTATTGGTGAGCGTGATTAAGACAGAGCTGATGCTCATAAGTGCAGGGCCCGCCATTTGTCCAGGGGACCACGATTAGGGATGTATTTGACTCCACAGCCATCCGGGATGAGTCGCTTTTCTGCCACCATGTTCTCAAATTCATCCACATTGAACTTGGTAAATCCCCACTTCTTGGAGATTTGTGGATCTTCTGACGGCCAGGGAACTTGAACTTGGCCTGGTGGAGGGCTTCAATCACATGCCCCTTGTTCTGCAGCTTGGTGCGGATGAACATTATGACCTGGCCAGTGTGGACCCTGGCCACTGTGCCCTAGGGCTTTCCAAAGGCACCGCGAATACCTGTCTGGAGTCTAGATTGGGAAACAGCAGGCCAGTCATGAATGCCCACTAGGAAGAGCTGTCTCCAAGGTCCCTCAGGACTACCTGTACAGGCAACAGGCTGCATACACTACCAAGGAGGCTGCTGTTTGCAATGAACACTTTCAAAGTATATTTTTAAGCATTTAAACTTTTGTGTTACTGTTGCTATTGTAAATCGATTTTTTTTCCTTTATAGTTTCTAACCGGCAACTGATTTCTGTGCATAAATTTATATCCTCACATCTTGCTGAATTATGTTTTTTATACTCTTGATTCTCAAGGTCAAAGTTTTTTTTCCCATTATCTACAAATAATTTCCTTTCTTTTGCAATTCTTACACCTCTAATGGTTCTTTTCCTATTGCTTTGGTTAATTCCTCCAATACACTGTGATGGAGATTCTGAACATTCTTGCCTTTTTCCTGACCATAGTGGGAACGTTTCCATTGTTTTCTCATTAGTAAATACTGAATTTTGTACTAAAGAAGTTATTCTTGGGAATATTCCTTTTATAAAGAATATGTTGATTTATTCCAAGGCTATTTCAGCATCTATGGGGATAATTATGATTGTCTTGTTCTACTTAGATATATTTAAATGATAGAGTTCTTAATGCATGTTTGCATTCCTAGTATAAATTCTACTCAGTCATGGTATATTATTTTCTTAATTTTATGTTGGAATCTGTTCACTAACACTTTATTTAGGATTTTTGCATTAGTTTCCTAAATGCTTTGTTCTATGATTTCTTTACTTAGCCACATTTATCCAGTTGGATATATAAATGTTTTATATACTTCATAAAAAGAATTTGGAAGTTTTTCTTAATATTCTATGCTTTGAAACAATTTACGTAGCATTGAGACAATCTCTAAAGATTGAATAGACAGACTTTCCCTCTGAAAAGATCTGTATCTGGTACTTTTGTTTCTTTGTTTTGGTTTTGATTTTTTTTGTTTGTTTTAGTAGATAGTTTCTCTATAATGTTCTTGATTTCTTCTGTGGAATTTGGTCTTCTAAGTTTTTTGTCACTAATGCAGTTACTTTTGATATACTATAATTTCCCAGTTATCTCAGTGTTTAAATGAATTTTCATGAAGCAGATATATATATATGTGTGTGTGTTTGTGTGTGTGTAAAAAAATTTCTCCTGTTATTTCTTTTGTCAATTTTTACTTTCTATATTTGTGCTTTCGTTCTTATACCTCAGTTACATTAACTAGTGGTTTGTCTATTTTGTTCATTTTTCTTCCAGATGAGAAAATAGGAAAACAGTAGAGCAACTCAATCAAAATTTTATTTGTTGCTCTACTGTTTTCCCACTTTCTCATAAACTGGTATTATTATTGCTATTCCACATTTTGTACTTTATCTTGGTTTATTTTGTTCTTTTTTCTAGATTTGTAAGTTGACAAGTTAATTTTTAATTTCTATTATTTTCTTTGCACTGATGTTGTTTCTTAAGTCTATACATTTTTCTGTGATAACACATTTAAATCTCATTTTTTATTTATAGTGTTTCTATTACCACTATTTTTCAAACATCTGTTTATACTTTCTGTTTAACCAACAGTTTTTAAAAGATTTTTAACTTTCCAGATAGGGGTCCTCTTAAGCTTGATATCTTTAATTTCTACTTTTGTTGCATTGTAATAAGAATGGTCATTTGTAATATGTTTATTTTATGAGAATTGTTGGTGCTTTATTTGTGGTCAATTTTTGCGATAGTTCCATATGTAAATGAGAATAAATATTCTCTACTTTCACAGTGTTTTACACACATGCTCACTCACTATCTATGTGGTTTATCTGTTGACAATGTGGTTTATATCATCAGTATCCTTAGTTTTTGTCCATTTGGCTTGTGTTATACTGACAGTAATGTTAGTTTCCTTTTATTAATATGTGTCTATTACTTTCTCCTTTAATTTCATGCAGTTTCTACCTGAGGTCACAGCAATGTTGTATGATGTAGAAATATTTATAACTATTATATCTTCACTGATAGTCAAGGCTTTTAGCATTTAAAGTGTTCTATTTAAAGTGTTCTATTTTGTCTCAATCCATGCTTTTTGTTTGGTAGTCTATTTGCATGGTAGTAGCAGCAGCAGCAGCCTTATGAAACTTTCTTTCCTTTTTTCCCCCTCATTTGACTGATATATCCTTGTTCATCCCTTTAAATTTAGTCGTTTGGAGTCTCTTTATTCAGATGTGTCTCTATACAACATAAATTTGGTTTTGTTCTATGGGTCAATATGAAAAATCTTTGTCCTTCTACTATGCCAGTTTAAATAGTTTAGATTTATTGATAAGGTAAATATATTTGATTCTTCTAATTCCTCTAATATGTTCTTATCATATTATTTCATAATTATGCATATATTATTTTTCTGTGGTCACAAGTGATATGCTTTCACTGTTCTCTTTTTTTCCCTTATTCGGAAGGTGGTTTACATTTAAATTCTGGTATATGTACATGTATAGCTGTACATTCTAAAATACTCTTAATCCACCTACACTTTTCTCCTTGTGTAACCTTTCACTAAGTAGTTTGTCAGTTTTTTATTTTTATGTTGCCCATTACTTTATTTTTTTTTCCATTTATTTTTATTAGTTGGAGGCTAATTACTTTACAATATTGCAGTGGTTTTTGCCATACGTTGACATGAATCAGCCATGGATTTACATGTATTCCCCATCCCAATCCCCCCTCCCATCTCCATCTCCACCCAATCCCTCTGGGTCTTCCCAATGCACCAGGCCCGAGCACTTGTCTCATGCATCCAACCTGGGCTGGTGAACTGTTTCACCCTTGATAGTATACTTGTTTCAATGCTGTTCTCTCAGAACATCCCATCTTCGCCTTCTCCCACAAAGTCCAAAAGTCTGTTCTGTACATCTGTGTCTCTTTTTCTGTTTTGCATATAGGGTTATCATTACCATCTTTCTAAATTCCATATATATGTGTTAGTATACTGTATTGGTCTTTATCTTTCTAGCTTACTTCACTCTGTATAATGGGCTCCAGTTTCATTCATCTCATTAGAACTGATTCAAATGAATTCTTTTTAATGGCTGAGTAATATTCCATGGTGTATATGTACCAGCAATCCCACTTCTAGGCATACACACTGAGGAAACCAGATCTGAAAGAGACACATGTACCCCAATGTTCATCGCAGCACTGTTTATAATAGCCAGGACATGGAAGCAACCTAGATGCCCATCAGCAGACGAATGGATAAGGAAGCTGTGGTACATATACACCATGGAATATTACTCAGTTTGTCAGTTTTACAAAGTGTTCTTTGATGCCCATAAATACCCCACTTACTGTAATAAATGATTCTGTTCTACTATCTTTCTTTCCCCTTGCCTCACATTTCTAGTCATAATATTTCTATTTTGTCAGAACATATAATGTTTACATACTATTCTTTAACCCTTTTCTCTGATTTTTATTTTAAATGTTTGATTATATGCATAAATGCTCACCATCACAACTTTTTACCGTTAATTCCTTGATAGGATAAATCTCATCCTTTAGTAGCAAGATTGGACAAAGTGTTTATAAACAAAGTTTTGCTTGATTTATTCTATGTTTAAAATAGTATCTATCCTCATCTATAAAGGGTAAATTTTCTGGATATAAATTTTTTGGCTCATATTTTCTTTCTTTCTTTGAGTTTCTTGTAAATATTTTGCACAGTTGCCTTATTCTCTTAAGAAATCTGATGCCAATCACATTTTCTTACCCTTTTAAGTATTTTTTTTTTAGCTTTTATACCTGAAGACCTTGTAGGTATTTTTGTTTTTCTAATAGTTTGCTAAAGTATGTTCTAGAGTTTCTCATTCTCATGTAACTTAATTGGCCCTTGTTAATATGAATGTAGTGATTTTACCTTATTTTAAGAAAGTTTCCCTTGATGATAACTCCAAATATTTGTTTTCTTTCATTGTATTATTTCCAGGAAAACCAAGTAAGAAATGTAACATCTACTTTTCCTGTTTTGTTTTTTTTTCTCAATTTTTGTATCCAGTTTGATTTAATCCTATTTTTGTCAGTTTCACAGTTTTTGAAGTTCTGGTCCTATGTATAGTAGTTTGTTTGTTTTTTATTATTGCATAATAAATCACCTTGATTCTGTTCTGTTAATGTCCTTTCACACACAAAAAAAATCACAGTACCATTTCTAGGTGTCTAGTGATCTGGGAGATATTAAAATATCTTTTCCAAGGTAAAAGGTAAACTGCTGGTCTGGTGCCTCCTGAAATGGACCTCTTTGCATTTTGATGTGTACCTCATATGGATACACTACACTGACTCATTTATTAAGTGACCTGAAAGTTGCTATTAATAGATTTGAGAGCCTTCCAGAACAAGAGAAGATTCTTCAACAGGTCCAGTCTGCCTTACAAGCCACCCTGACACTTAAGCCGTGTGATCGAACAGATATAATGGTGCTTGCAATGTCAGCAACAGATGGAGATGCTGTTTGGATATTTTGGCAGCTCCATATAAGTAAATTACAACACAGACCCTTAAGATTTTGGAGCAAAGCCATGCCATCTGTGAAAAGCTCTCCTTTTAAGAATCAGTTTTTTAGCCTGTTACTGGCCCTTAGTAGAATCTGACTATTTGACTCTGGGTCACAAGTAACTATACAACCTGAACTGGATGCTATCCAACCCATCAAACTATAGAGCTGGGTGTGCACCTCCAGACTCCAACACTAAATGAAATTCATAGATGTGAGATGGGACTGAAGCAAACCTTGAGTACACAAGTACGATTCATGTGGAAGTGCCCCATATACACATATCTGACTCTTACTACATCACCTTTTCTCTGTTAGTCCATACCTATGTCCTCATGCAGAGTTTCCTACAACAAGTTGAGAAAGAAAGAAAAAAA